AAAAGATAATCACCAGAGTCTGGGAAAGGTAGTGTGGAGTTGGCAGGGAGATGGGGATGGTTAATGGGTACAAAAAAAATAGAAAGAATGAATAAGGTCTATTTGACAGAACAGGGTGACTATAGTCAATACCATAATAATAACTTAATTATACATTTAAAAATCACTAAAAGAGTATAACTGGATTATCTGTAACACAAAGGATAAATGCTTGAGGGGATAGAAACCCCATTTTCCATAATGTGATTATTACATATTGCATGTCTGTAGCAAAACATCTCATGTACTCCATAAATACATACATCTACTATGTTAAAAATTTAAAAAAAAAAAATTGTTTTCAACCCTCATGGTTGGCTTTCTACCCTCATGAAGATTTAAGGAGTTCAAGACTTCAGTGGAGGAAATAACTGCAGATGTGATGGAAGTAGCAAGATAACTAGAATTAGAAGTAGAGCCTGAAGATATAACCAAATTGCTGCAATCTCATGATAAAACATGAATAGATGAGGAGCGGCTTCTTATGGATGAACAAAATATGTGGTTTCTTTTTTTTTTTTTTTTTTTTTTTTGAGACGGAGTCTCGCTGTGTCGCCCAGGCTGGGGTGCAGTGGCGCGATCTCGGCTCACTGCAAGCTCTGCTTCCTGGGTTCACGCCATTCTCCTGCCTCAGCCTCCGAGTAGCTGGGACCACAGGCGCCCGCCACCACGCCCGGCTAGTTTTTTGTATTTTTAGTAGAGACGGGGTTTCACCATGTTAGCCAGGGATGTTCTCGATCTCCTGACCTCGTGATCCACCCGCCTCGGCCTCCCAAAGTGCTGGGATTACAGGCTTGAGCCACCGCGCCCGGCCAAATATGTGGTTTCTTGAGATGGAATCTATTTTTGGTGCAGATGCTGTGAACATTGTTGAAATGACAACAAGGATTTAGAATATTACATAAATTTATATTTGAAAAATCAATGGCAGAAAGAAGTTCTACTGTGGGTAAAATGCTATCAAACAGCACTGCATGCTACACAGAAATCTTTTGTGAAAGAAGAGTCAATCGGTCAACAAACTTCATCGTTGTCTTAGTTTAAGAAATTGCCACATCCACCTCAATCATCAGGAAGCACCACTCTGATCAGTTAGCAGCCATCAAAATTGAGGCAAGATTCCCCACCAGATTACATCTCGGTGAAGGCTCAGATGCTTCGTAGCATTTCGCAGCAATAAATTACCTATTAATTAAGATAGATGCATTGTTTTTTTCAAATATAATGCTATTGCATATTTAACAGACTATAGTATAGTGTACACATAACTTTTATACACACTTGGAAACAAAAAAATTCGTGTGACTCACTTTATTGTGATATTAACTTTATAGAGGTGGTCTGGAGGAAACCAAACCTGTAATATCTCAGAGTTATGCCTGTACCAAGATGGCAGATTTAAACCCAATTATATCAATACAACATTGGCTATATATATGGAACAAACCCTCCAATTAAAAGGCAGAAATTGTCATTCTGAATAAAAAAGCAAAACCGTAGTATATGTTGTCTACTAGAATCTACTTTGAACAAGGCAGCCAAGTTAAAGATGAAAGGACAGAAGAAGATACACCACAGAAATATTAACCATAAGAAAACTGGGGGCCAGGCATGGTGGCTCACGCTTGTAATCCCAGCAGTTTGGGAGGCAGGGGTGGGCCCTGGATCATGAGGTCAGGAGTTCGAGACTAGCCTGGCCAACATGGTGAAACCCCATCTCTACTAAAAGTACAAAAACTAACCAGGAGTGGTGGCGGGCACCTGTAATTGCAGCTACTCAGGAGGCTCAGGCAGGAGAATTGCTTGAACCCAGGAGGTGGAGGTTGTAGTGAGCTGAGATTATGCCATTGCACTCCAGCCTGGGCAACAGAGACTCTGTCTCAAAAAAAAAAAAAGAAAAAGAAAAAAGAAAGAAAATTGGGATGGCTATATTCATATCCGAAAAAACAGACCTTGACTGAATCCTGGGCCAGAAAAAAAAAAAAAAAATTAGTATGATAACTGAAAAAAACTGAATGAGGTCTGTAGATTAATTACAAGTATTGAATCAATGTTAATTTCCCATAATTGCACTGTGGCTACATATGATGCTAACATTTGGGGAAACTGATTGAAAGGTATGTGGGAGTTACATGTATGATTTCTGCAAGTTTGTAATAAGTGTATAGTTAGCGCAAATGAGAAGTTGAAAGTATTTTAAAAATTCAAATTTCTGTTCTTCCAAAGATACTACTAATAAAAAAACAACTTACAGGCTGTGAGAAAGTATTCTTCCTCCTAAGGCTGTGGATAGTATTTAGTATTACAGTCGAGATAGACATAGACACATGAGCATACTTCACCTCTGCTACTATAATTATTGCTATCCCAAGGAATTTTATACAGAATATATAAAAAACTCCTACAGTTCAATAATAATAAGACAAATCAATTTTTTTTAGAGTCAAAGGATTTGAAGCAACAAAGAAGAAGATATATCTAATGGCCAATAAACAGAAGATCCTCAACACCAGTCACTGTGGAAATTCAAATCTGAAATCACAATGAGCTCTCACAATGGTTCCCACCCATCAAACAGCTAAATCTAAACAGCTTGACAGGTGCAGCTGGAACTTTCTTCCACTGCTTATGAGAATAAAAATTATATAACCCACCGAGAAAATATAAGAAACCAATATATTTGCTGCTTAAGTTAACATACACTTACACTTACCATATCACCCCAGCAATTCCACTCTTAGATTTTCACCCAAAAGATATGACAACATATGCCCACACAAATACTTATACATGAATGTTCACAACAGCTTTATTTATAATAGGCCAAAACCAGAAATAGCTCATGTGCCCATTAATGTATGACACTTACTGTGCTACATAGGCATAGAAAGCAATACTACCAAGCAATAAGATGAACAAACCACTGAAAAATGCAAAAACAGATAAATCTCAGAAACAAACTTTAATATCCACATAATAAAATACTTTCCAACATTAAAAAGGAACAAAGTATTCATAAATGGTACAACATGGATGACTCTCAAAGTAATTATACTGAATTAAAGAAGGCAGACATTAAAAAGTACATACTCTATGAAAGGTATTTATGTAAAATTCTTTTTTAAAAATCTATTTTAAAATGAGAAAGTGATCAGTGTTTACCTTGGTGGGAACTGACTGGGAAGAGGTATACGAAGACATACAGATAGGGGTGATAAAAATGTTCTCAATCTTGATTGTGGAGGTGGTTACATGGATGTATATATGCATGAAAATCCATTTACACCATACAATTAAAATGGATTCATTTTATTGTATATAATTTGTAGCTCAACAAATTTAATTTTTTATTTAATTTTTTATTTTTTTTTGAGACAGAGTCTCACTCTGTTGCCCAGGCTGGAGTGTAACGCTGTGATCTTGGCTCACTGCAACCTCCACCTCCCAGGTTCAAGCAATCCTTTCGCCTCAGCCTCCCAAGTTGTGGGACTACAGACAGGCATGTGCCACCACACCTGGCTAATTTTTTGTATTTTTAGTAGAGATAGGGTTTCACCATGTTGGCCAGGCTGGTCTCGAACTCCTGACCTCAGGTGATCCACCCATTTCAGCCTCCCAAAATGCTGGGATTACAGGCATGAGCCACCATGCCAGGCCTAAAAATGTTTTAAATATACAACATGATGTTCTGAAATATCTAGAGCATTAAATGCCAGCGCAGAACGACTTTCTCTTCAGTGTCTGAAAGTGAGACAAAAAGTTTACTAGAAGTCTTCTCTTAATGTATACTCCAATATTTTTCTTAGCTAGGGTCAAGCGTATAATGTTTTTAAAAAATGGCAAGGCCAGGGTTAGCCCAAAGACTGAAAAACATTCCAAATGAAAAGACAATGAGTTTCAAAGTATGCCAGAATGTTACCATATTGGCATTGGTAAGAGACAGTTGTATAAGGTAATCTTAAAACTCTAAGCCAGAATATTATGTGAATACTTACATACACTTTAGGTTAAACATTATGCTAAAACCTATATATTCACTATCTTATTTAAATTTATAGATATTTAAAGGAGATACTTCATTTTATAGATAAAGAAACTGAGATGAAGAGAGGTAAAATACTTGCTCAAAGTCAAATAGGTAAAAGTGGCAAACTGGGATTCAGCCTAGGTCTACCTGACATCAGTGCTGAGGCTCTTTACTGTTTTGCCAGTTTACCTCTAATTATGCTATATATACTACCTTTTGCATTATAAAGAGGCTCCAGTGTGTGAGCCTGTACAGATAACTTATGGAGCATTGTACTGGTCCCTTTATAGCTAGCTGTGTTAGTAGGCCTTGGGAATGGTACTGAGAAAGCAGTTTAGATGTCTAAAGCATTAGATTTTACAAAATGTCATTTCTATATAATATAGCTATTAAATACTGAAAATAATTATAGGGACTGAAGAGCTATTGGTCCCAAAGAACTTTCTCTATCTTTACTCCCTAATCTTCCCAAAAGTCCCACAAAGTTGCTATAAATCACAGCAGAAAGAAGACAATGGGATCTCAGAAAATCTCTTTTTATTGGTGAGAAAACAGCTACAGCAGTCTCTCTTTCTGCATTCTATTTTTCTTTTTTTAACGTTGCTTACTTTGTTTGTATAATTCTTTTGGATTTTAAAGTTTCATATATTTCCTTAGCTTTCCTTCCAGGAGTTTTGCTAATATGGATTTGCTCTATTCAAAATCTTAAAACCTTGTGTTTTGTTAATTTTTTGAAAATGCATAATAATGAAGTGATCATGAAGTTATATTAGATAAAAATTATCTACTTTAATGACTGACAAAAAGAAAATATTCAAAAAAGAAAATAGGTTTATCCTATTTAAGAATATATAAAATATTCATATTAAGACAAAAATGAATTTGAGCAAGTTAATTATATTTGTGCAAGAAATTAATGCAATTTTCATCCTACCTGAAATCACATGCTGTAGTAAATTCTGCTCCTCCACCCAATGCCCAACCTTGAACCAGCGCAACACTTATTAAAGGAAGTCTGTATATTGAAGAAAAAACTGATGTTACAATTTTTAATTTCAATATTCACTTACAAATGTTATTTTTAAAAAAATCTTAAAATGCAGTGGAAACAAAATATTGCAGTCTTCATAAAAACAAACACACATCAAAGGATAGCAGAAGCTTGAACCTTTACATCATGAGAAGAAAAACAGTGTAATACTAAAGATACAGTAGTTTACAATAAATGCCATGTAAGTTCATCAAAATACCTCCTTGAATCATTATATATTTTTAGGCTATAGCCATATTGTAACTTACTCCCAAATAAATGGATGCTTTTGTCTAATTTATAGCTCCTGGAACTTCTCAGCAGCAGTGGTTCTTCAGAATAATTCCATGTGATATCATCTTTGTCCATTTTTATTGGTATCAGGTTAAAAGTTGGAAAATCAAAGCTATATCCAAAGGTTCGAAATGTGTTACAGAAGATAGAGCTCCAAAACTGTGTTATGAAGGTTCCTTCAAAAATCAACTCATTGCTGCCTGAAATAATCCACATACTAATCCTATATAAAGGCATGATTTTGCGGTAAAAATAAATCTTTTACCTTTCCTGTTTGCAAAGACCCACTTTGCAGGGGTGTGTGAATACAAGGTAAATCTAAAAAGTTTTGCAAGTATGGAATTTTTGTAGGTTCTAACCTACAATGCAAAGGTGCAGGTCTAAACTAATTGAAAATTTCCTAATATACACCGCTCCCATGTAGAAAGAATTATTTTTAAAAAATAGTAACTTTTCAGATTTATGTAAGAAAAAGTCAAATGCAATTGGAAAAGGGAAGTGAACAGGGGTTAAGAAAATGAAGATACTATTTTAGAATAGTAATGTTATGATTCTATTACTCCCTCTAGACTCTCAGATACAATGAGTACCAAAAATACAGCAGTGCACAATTAATAACCTTGCTTAAATAAGAATTTCCTTAGTTTTCATAATTTTAAATTTGTCTACATTTGGAATGTGAAAGTAGGAAACTAATCAGCCAAAACATGTCACAGTTTGTAACCTCAAACATACTTTGACAGGCCAAGAAGAATTTTTCCTCTTTGCTTCTTTACCTAGGTACAAAGTCAATTCATCTTCCTCAGAAAGCTGTGAAAACTTTCCAATCCATAGTTCTTTCTCTCATCTCTGGAAACAGACCACTTCACTACACATTCTACTAATTTGGAATGTTAGGTAACCTTTATGTGTCACATATAGATCAGCGTCTTTATTATTCTGCTCTAACACCAGTATTTAACTTTCCTAATATCTACTCCTAAATACAGCTAGTTATATGAGCTCTTTAGGGGATATGTCTTAAATTCTTCTTATCTTTCATTTCTTTTATTTTTAAAATATATATGTATATACCTCATTAAATGATTATCCTTATATGTAATTAAATGATTATCCTCTATAGCACAAAAAATAGGACATCATTAGAATAGATGTAATTTAAAAATTAGCTATTATTTCTTAACTAGTACAAATAATGGAATAGTAAAAAGCTATTTTTGGTCTTTTAGAAATCGTGTTTTAAAAAGAAGGATGCATTACCTCATAAATCTTGTTAAGGTGTTTTGCATGAACATGCATACGGCCATTCCATCCTTTAAATAAAAATAAGCAGAAACACAAAGGTATAATGCAAATATATTATATTAAATTTTTTTAAGTTTTTACAAAGTAATGAAGCCAAAAATATGTATTTTTTAAACAATGATGTTTCCATTTAAAACTCTTTGATGTTGTCTGAAATGCAAATAATGCTGTATTTGACTTTGTTGACATCCTAGGGCTCCTTGAGCTCAGCTTTGCATGAGGTATTAGCAAAGATGTAGGGATAAGTGACAGATCACATACTCTAGATCACTATGGAGTTCTACTCAGGGTAATGATGGGGGGAAAGGCGTAAGATATACCCATCTGTTATCCTTAAGACGATAAACTTATCAAAGAAGAAGGGAAAGAAGGGAAAAGTTATGTTAAGTTTTGGTTTTTTAAAAAAATATTTCTAAGGCTTTATCTTGGTATTGCCACAACTTATAATTTTCTTAAACAAATTTCCTAAGAGTACTCCAAACTCATTGCCTTGTCTTTTTTTTAGCTCACATACTTTCTTCAATCCAGTGTAATCTGGCCCTCTGCCTTATCCCAAAATCTCTCCTGAAAAGCTTTTAATAATCTCCTACTTGTCAAATTAAATGACTTTTCCTTATTCATCTTTTCTCTCTTCATAACACACAGTACTTTTCTTTAATCAGTTTCTTCATTTTCATATTTGCTCTCACATTCTAGTAACATTTTACACTCCAGATTCTCTTATTTCTTTGTTTGTTGTTTTCCAGTCTTCTTCCTTGGCTCTTCTTATCCAACTAATCCCCTAAATCCATGCAGTTTCAAAAATCCAATCCATGATTTACTCTCTTCTTTATTTATAATTTCTTTTTCTTTTTTTTTTTGGAAGTCTCATCTACTTCCATATAAAGTGCTAAAATCTACTAGACATTTTCACATTCTGATAGCACCTCAAACTCAGCACAGGAAAACCAACTGAAAGTAAAAGAACTGAGTTTGAATCCTAGAGCTGCCACTTAATAACAACATGACTTTGAGCAAGTCATGACTATGTAATTCAGTTTCCTCATCCATAAGAAATGAGAAATTTTTTAAAAATTTGCACTATTTGACTTAAAGGATGTTTAGAAAGATGACAATATACCTAGAAACTCTGTAAAAGATTGCATAAGAGTTCTGTGTTAGTGGAAAAAGTTAGTGTAAGAGTTCTGAGCTAGTGGTCAATAAGGCTCAGAATTTTGGTACTATGTTTGGCTTTCCTATTTCACAATTCTCTCACACTCAGTTATTTACCAAGTACTTCTCCTTGGATATTCCTTAGAAATATTTCAAATATCGATCCCTTCTTTTATATTTCCGCTGCTGTTGCATTAGTTCATACCTGTGTTACTCAAGCCTTGATAAGTACAGTAAGATGGCTTTGCTTTCTCCCACCCAAGGACTAATCAGACCCGACACCGATTAACTTCCAAGATTGGCAAGACTGGGTGCATTCAGGGTGGTATGGCCGGAGATATCAGCTTTGCTTCCTCACTGATTTCTGTATTTAATTTCTTTTTCCTCTTAAATATAATCTTCCATCCTGCTACCTAATAATCCTTCCTGTAGGATGATGATGTCTTATAGAATACAACCTGAATTTCTTGGCAAGACCACCTGATTCCAAACTATCTTATCAACTTTGACTACCATACCCCTCATCCAAGCATCCTAATTTCACCATACAAACTACTTGTCATCCCTCTAACACCTTACACTTATTGTGGCTCCTGTGTCTTTGCTTTCATCATTCCTACCAGTTGGAGTAGGCTGTCCTTCTCTTTACCTATTTCTAGGAATGCCCAGATCATATATTTTTCCATCAAGATTTTCTAAATCTCACAATAAAAATTTTCTCTTTTGTGTTTCCATAGTATTTTAATTTTTATGCCTTAATTATAGTACTTATAAATTGTGTTGTATGAATATGTGTTCAGATGCATTATCAGACACATCATCTTTACAAGACGGGGACTAGAGAACATAATAATAAGTTCTCAATAATTTTGCCAGAGATACAGAAATACAACAACTATCAAAGTATAAGTATTATAAAAAGTGCTTGAACAAACTGAGAAGAGTGTCAAAGAAGAAATTATTCATTTCAATTGGGATGGGGGTAGTTAGAGAGGCTTTAGAGAGGAGAAGGGAACGTGGCATTTGCTAGGTCTAGACAGCAAGTCCCTTGATGGTGATACTATGCCTTCTCCCTCCTCAGATGCTAGTAAAATGTTTTGCACATAGTGTTTGTTGAACTTAACAAAATTAGATGAATTTTAGATGGAGAACTATGTTGATTTATAAAACAAATGCAGTCAAGAAAAAGTAAAAGCCAATGTGGAAGGAATTTCCTAATCCAAAGCTGTTATCAGGAAGATCAGTGTAGCTCACAAAGTGATGAGAAAATTAACACAGGCACAAAGAGCTAAAAAGTTTTCAAAGTGAACCGGTTTATCCTCTGCTAAAAACCTTTCCAATAAAACCTGTTCTATTACCTACATCAAATAATTTTAATATGCATATTTGCTCTTGCTAGATTTAGATTACTTAAAATTCCCATGAAGTATATAGAATTGGTAGAAATAAAGGTAAAGCAAGTATTAGCCTGTGTACTACTATAATTTTCATTCAAAAGACAAAAGGCACACACTAAAAATGTCTATTAGAAGTCGTATGAAATAAACGGTTAGAACAACAGTTTCTAAAGCCAATCTGCCTAGGTTTGAATTTGGGCTCTAGCACTTTCTAATTAGTTTGACTTTGCCCAACCTGCTTAACCTCTCTGTCCTACAGTCTCTTATCTGCAAATTGTGCTAGTAGTAGTACCTATTTTATTAAGGGAGCTAGTAATGATTAAGCAAGTTACGGCACCAAATGAGGTTAGAACAGTGTCTGACATATAGTAAGAGAATAAAAGTTATCTATCATTATTATTAATATTACTAACAATACTGGCAATAGATAATGAGTATGTTTTGGTTTTAAGTGTATCATAAAACACAAGTTTAAGCAGTATTGGCCAACATGCCCTAGAGATAAGAAAGATTTCATTAAATTTGTCTCCCAAAGTTATTAAACCCACAATGGTTAAATGCTCTGTCCTCTCACTGGGTTGAAGAAAGCAAACAAGCCAGTAAGAGATACCTGTGATAGAGTAAGCTGTGGGTAAGGAACCAATAAAAAGCTAGACCTGCTCTAATGTATAAAAGCTGGAAGCTGAGAAGTACTAAAACAAGGTTTTGAAAGTTGCTGCAGACAGTGGTATTTTCATGCTATCTGGATGATACCTGAGATCCAACCCTACTCTTCTAGATCCTTCTCATAAAACAAGGATAAGAAGAACAATGCTCAGCCAAAATGCCAAAAGGAAGGATTAACATCATATTAAGCCATGTTTACAGTGGAAAAATGCCCAGCCTGTAGAAGTATCTTATTTAGAAACATAAATAAGCCTCTTTCTTAAGTGTTTATTATATGGATTTATTAACTTCCTCAAAATACACGGAAGGGTTTAGAGAAAATTAAAATAGCTTGCCTTTTTTTTTTTTTTTTTTAGCTAGTGTATTGCTCTGTCACCCAGGCTGAAGTGCAGTGGTGTGATCTTGACTCACTACAACCTCCTCCTCCTGGGTTCAAGTGGTTCTCCTGCCTCAGCCTCCTGAGTAGCTGGTATTACTGGCACCTGCCATCATGGCCAAGTAATTTTTGTATTTGTAGTAGAAACAGGTTTCACTATGTTAGCCAGGCTGGTCTCGAACTCCTGACCTCAGGTGATCTGTCCACCTCGGCCTCCTAAAGTGCTGAGATTACAGGTGTGAGCTACTGTGCTTGGCCGCTTGTCTATAAATTAATCAGGGTATGGAACTGTACAATAGTAGTAGCAAATACAAGGAAGTTAGACAAGAACTTTGAGGTCACTGTAGAAATATAAGGAACAGAGATCTAAGGAACAATAGATTGGGAGAAAAGTAACAAGGAAAGTTAAGGGACAAAGGAGGAGACAGATTAAGAACAGAAAGGTTTCTAAATGCCACACTTTTCCTTGAGGCATTATACTCATCCATTGCAGACTAAGCAGGTTTTATTTCCCTACGTTCTAAAGCCTATAACTGCACTTTGATTACATATTCCCTCTGAAAGGAAACTTCTTGTCGCCTACAGGACATCTGTGGCATCAAATCCAAGTCTTAATATTTAAATATTTTTTTTTTCTATTTTATTCCTTTGTCTTTCCCATACATAACTTTTCAGCAGGGTTAATCTTTGTGTTATCCTAGTGGATCTCCTGGCCTCTACCATCTGAACCAAGAATTACCTGCCTAATAGGGACAGTTGGAGCTCTTTTCCTGCACAATAAACAAAGCATACCAAGATGCGACCAACTTCTTATGGGATCAGTTACACTAAAAAAAAAAAAGTGGAATAATAGATAACAAATATAATAAAATGTTGATAGGCTTGACGCTTTTATGAGTACATGAGGGTTTCACTGTATTAGTCTCTGCTTTTACCCATATTTGGTAATTTATATTAATAAAAAGCTTTTGAAAACTGAATAGCAAAAACATCAAAATAATTATATTTTTATGATAAAAAAAGCCATTTAATAATCACTTCCAAGCATTTTATTACAATTAGAAGGAATTATAATCCAGTTGCTAAAATTGTCATATATTTCAGTTATCTCATCATCCTCAGAAAGCAAATTCACCAAATTAAGTAGATGCTAGTGATGCATCTGTAACAACAAAGACATTGACAGACAAACTGTTTACAACTTAAAGTCATGGTAAGTTTCAGAATGTTTCAGCCATGAGGGGGAGATGCAATTATATATTGCAGCTGTAACTCATATAGAACACATGTATGAGCCTCAAAAGTCCTGAGGTGATTTTAAATTTCAGCTTTACACAGATTTATAGTTCCTTCTCAAGTATATAGGAATATAGTTTATAGGAAACATCAGGAACTTTACATAAACTACTTCTAGTTC